TTTTCTTTATATTGCGAACAAAAAACACGTGCACATAAGTAGATAAAGGAAATATTTTTGTGAGTAACATGATTTACCTTAACGGATTAACTAATGCAACAGCAAGGATGCACTGTTAAAGAACTGGTTATTTCCGATCGCGAAATAATTCTAATTGAATGGTTTGTTATTACACCTGTTGTAATGGCTTTCAACTATATCGGTAATGTTATTGCCAATACTGGTCAACAATGCAAAAGATATGTTAAATAAAAATACAATATATATTTGTGCCTCATATAGATTATGGGGATTTACAAAAAATATGTGGGTGGTTAAAATGGATTTTTTGAAAACCAAATTTACCAAATTTTCATCTGTTCCAGAAAAACTGGACCCTTAGAATGATTGCTCATGCTATTGGTTGGTTTCCAATTGGTTTCCAACGCTTGCTTGGATCGAGTATAGAAGACGTTGTGAAAGTCTTTGGAATTCATAAAATAATTTTTGATCTGCTTCATTTTTCAACGTATTTCAATGTATAAAACATTATAGAGAAACAAAGTTGTCCTTATTCCACTGACTGCAAGAAAATAACCGACAATGAGCGTGTAAAAATATATATCATGAAGAATAAATCCAAATTTATGATAATGTGCAAAAATACAAGATCTATTTGTGGTTTAAAAGGCAATCAGATTGTTTTAATAAATATCATAAATAACATAATAAAATAACTATTTTCCCTTTTATATGATATACTTCCTTTACTGCTTTAGTACATATGTATGTGCATGTCCTTAAGGAAAAATAGAAATGATTACCAACTTAGAACAAAGAGAATAATTAATTAAAAAAATCATACATGTAATATTCAGGATTTCAGATTTTTGACTCCCTAGAGATAGGATGAATGTCTTAACGAAAAGCAGAAACTAGTATTTAGAGTGATATACTAGTGGAACAAATTATGTTAAGGAAACTAACATTGAACGATTTTTCCCCAGGAGGCATACAAGTCTACAAAGTTCCTTTTTAGACTAAACTGAAATTCATTAGGGGGTGGAAAATCAACTATATTTGCACGTCAAAACCAATAATTCTTTGTTGTTCAGACAGATAAATAAAAAAAATTGACCAATGTTTAGTTCGTCATTAGCTCACAATTTACTGGTCTAGTTGACTGTAGACCGAATAACTCTTTACTGAAAGAAGCAAATATGGAATTCAAGAACTGAGTGGCTACGTAAGATCTAATAAACAAAATTTCGATCATTAAAATATTATTGTTTATATTGGGTTTTCACTGTATTAATTTACGTTAGGAAGTTAGATATTTCGCTTTTTCGGTAAAATTTATATACTTACACCAATTTTAGTATGAATCAAGTACAATTTTAAATGAGTTGTAAACACCAAAAGGTAAGCAAAGCATAGAATGTCAAAAAATATATCAGCAAAAATTATGACTAGATCTGTGCAATCATTTTTTTTTTTAATTGAAAGAGTAGGAACTGGCCGATCTTGAAAAACTCGGCAAGTTATATGGCCTAGCTGCACTAACGATTTTGTTTGCTCTTAATAATAATTATAAGTGATCTATTTACAAAAATGTATGATCTTTAAATATATTCATATTCACATATGAACAGGTATTTTCTTATTATTCCATTTGCTTTATATCAAATAACCTATATTGTATATTCGATACTATAACATAGTCTATAATAGGAGATTTTCTCCAAATCTAATCGATCTGTTAAATTTTGTTTTGTGATAATAGTTGTTCTATTATATATTGAGTTTTTTGCATAGTAGGTTGCATTTGAGAGTGGGCAACACAGATATTAAGGTTGTATAAAAATTTAAATATTTGGGTATTGTCTTTGGAATACTTTTCTTTTTTGGTTTCCTTTTGTGAGTTTATGAGATGAATTAATCAAATTTACAAACGAAAAAAGGGGCACATAATACAAATGAGTAATGTACAGAACGCGATGGGGGATGACCTCAAAAGAGTTGTGACCAATTGCAGATGCGCAGAACAGAAATGGATGGAAATACCTAGAGGAGACCTATTTTCAATAATATACACATCAAGTCTGATTGATGATGTACATAAGAAATTTTTATAATTATGGAGAAGAATATGCTTCTCAGCAAACTAGTGAATAAAAAGCAATCATGGTATAATTGTTAAGATGTATGATTATTATGAACGACGCAAAGCTTTACATTAGAAAAAAAAATAGTTAAGAAAGGTTACTCCTAAATATTTGGTGGACCACAATATGTTTCCCCATATTTGGTGAAAATGAAGCATTTTACACGAGTAAATCTCGTAAATTAACTCAATTTTTTCATGGATTCTGGAGAAATTTTGAAACGAATTCTAAGAAATGAAATCTAAGCTGCCACGTTGATCGCAGAGTATCACAACTCAAGAACGGCTAGACGAATCGTGACGTATGACGTCTCGAAAAAAATCAAGGAATTACAAACACCTGATGTTGTAGTTTCTTGTAGACATTATTTATTGTACTTGTGGATGAAATGGTTTTTTGCTGACTAAATAATTTTCTAATGTCAGTAATATGAAGAGATTTAATACTCAAACAAAAGCAGCATGAACAAAAATAAAAAAATAGATCATATGGGATTAAAATGGAGAATAGAATAGGATCACAATCATCCAGTATGTTATAAAAAATAAACAATTCTAATGAAATAGAGAAAGGAATAGGATGTAAAATAAGCATCATTAAACTGGCATTCGAAAGAGGAAACAGAAAAAAGCCAGCAACAATATTAAATACTAAATCTCAGAAAAAGAGATTGACAAGAGATTGTAATTGGTAAACTAGTAGAAAAGACCATTGAATACCGTAGTCCGCCATACTAGGCTTTCAAGATTTAACAAAAGCTTCCGACCAAAGGTAGTAGATACTTAAAAAAGAAAAGTAGTACCCCTAAAATGATAAGAATTGCAGAAGAATAAAATTCTTTCTAACTAAAATAAAAATGATTGAAGACTAACTGAAGAAATATTGATAAAGACAGGAATAACGCAAGGTGGGCACAATAATCAGGAATATGTAATACGTAGTATGGTGTGAGTGAGAAGGAAGAAAGAACTGAAACCAACATATAACGCGAATGTAGTTAAATCATAACTGAATAATTAAAGATTGTAAGAGATGAATAGTTTACAGGAAGAGGTTTACCAGGAAGACTACCAAACAGAGGCAGCTGTTCAGAATCGCAAACATGATTAAATATGACCCAGTAAACACAGGTCATAGACCTAACGTAAGAGAAAGAAAAAGGAATAGCAGAAAATAGCAGATCTAATGTTCGTTAAAAATTACATAAATTTATGTATGTCTTAATTGTCCATATACAAAGGACACCTAATATTGGTAAATACCAGGTCCCTTTACAACATAAAGTCTAAGTACTGTAAGTAGTATATCTACGTTACATTTAAGTAGAAAAATCACATATTAGTTAAAATAATTCATAACAATTTTATGAATAATATTCAGAGATTATGAATAATCAGATTCATCTTTTTATAACAGTCGTGTAGAAACTACACTCCTAATAATACGAAAAATTGCATTTAATTGATCATTTCACTACCCTGTAAGTATTTTAAGTACATAAAAGATGGTTTCATTTGTGTAAATAGATCAAATCAAATATAACACTAAAAATTCGAATGGATGAGATCTTTGAATAAAATTATTAATATCATTAAATAGTGAATAAAGTGATGAACTCGATCGAAAAACTAACTCATAAAATAATTACTAATGTATAAGTACCGTCCTATCAGTCAAAAATGGTGAAATACAATAAATTAAGTAAGAGGATTGGAAAGTATTGATTGAATGATATACTTAATTAAGTTTTTAAACAGAATATTACAATAAAAACCGTCTGCCTATTTGTTAACGTACAGAATAGTGTCTAGACGTTGGATATAAGAAATGTATTGGATTATTCTGTTTATTAGAAAGAACAATCCTTTCCAACCCCATCTAAGTACTAAGGTATAATAACTTAAGTACACTCAACACAACCTTTTTTTAAAAATTTTCCATTATAAATAAGTTATAATTATTGCCATATGACAGGAATATCAAGAGTTTTTTCATACGGAAAATAATTAAAACTAAACGGCAATTTATTTTTTCTCAAAAATTTAATACTGATTATTGCGAGTTATTGCCGAGATGCTAGATGAGCAGAAAGACGGCATCAAAACCGACAGTCGAGTACTACAAGAACCATAATTGAAAGCGTTTAACCCGCTTATAACCGAATACGAGTAGTGCTCGACTAGATATTATTTCTAGGAGTATTTTGAAACAGTTGTAAGCGCAATGTGTATGTGATGCTTTTAGAAAAACTGCCCGACAGCATTGTGGCAATGTGATTCTATGTACAGAAAAAAATCACCACTGTAGTATCATCAATAATACCATTGAAAAGTAGGCACGAGACGCCGCCATTGACAATTAAGAAAAGGAAGGGGTATTTTACATCTACTAACATTTTATCATAAATATTCTCCTGCAAAACTATTGGGAACTGATACATTTAGGCAAATGTGAGTTGAAGGGAAAGCATTGGTCATAAAATTAAAACTATATATACTTAATTCAAAACCTACCATACAGTAAGAAAATTACAGAAAAAGTAATAGAGTAGAGAAATAAAATAAAGGGAAGATTGTCCACTATTTAAATTTGAAACAACATACTGGGATTATTTATGAATATGGCACATGTTATTAAAAGTTCTAGGAAAGGTTGCCTTATCAAGCATACAATGGCAGTACCTTCAGTATGTAGGATAAAATAAGAAGTATAGTAAGGCTAGAAGAAGCAAAAGGAACTTGATGTATTTGGTAGATGCAGTATCCCTTCCTCTATTGGAAATGTATCGTTTATTTTCTTGGAAGTCCTTTCACAATAACCTAACACAAAAAACCTAAATAACAAATGTGTGAACACTTAGACATACATGCCGACACCATACATGGATCCCCAATCAACTCCCTGAAATGATGACATATCAACATTTGTGAGATTGTAGCCTTGGTAAGGGCTAGCAGCGACTGGAGGCGCCATTGCGGGAGGTGCAGGCGTATGAGCTGCAGGTGCTGGAGCAGGATTCTGGGTAGCTGCTGTGCCTGCACTGACTGCTGCTATTGGATAAGGGGAATAACGGTAACTGGCCAAATGTGGGTAGGCACCAAACAGTTTTCCGTAAGTCGCTAATGCAAGAGGTTGGGCTTGAGCGGCTGCTGCGGCAGCTTGTACGGCCTGTACATGTGCTTGCGCTTGAGCTGTTGCTAGTGGGTTTACTGTGGCTAGCACTCCTGGTGCGGGAGCTATGGCACGCATGCCCAATCCTGTGAGCATTAGTCGTTTACCTAATAGTTGAGCACTAGCTTGAACTGCTTCTTTGGGTTGTGCTTTTTTACATTCCACCTAAAAACGAAAGTATCAGTAAATTATTAGTTAAATTTTTAATAAAATTATATGGCTCCACCGCACGAAGGAACTGATGGTAAATAATAGCTGTAGGCAGATGATAATACAAATAACACAGGCCAACGATGAAAACACCTTTTTTACTTAAAACGGCTTATTCTTATGTTTTTTGTATGCTAAACCCAAATAGTTACAACATTTACTGAGCTGTATCACATACCATTTTAGTAAGAATAATTAATAATAATCTCTTATAATCTTTCTCTTTAATAATTCCAGATAATATTTTGGAGTCCCAAAATTAACATTTTCAGAAAAATTCAGTTATAAATTAATTGAGAAATTAATTTATTATTTGGTAATACACTTTTTAGATGGCCTATTCGATTTACGTCTGATTTTTTCAACTTAATCGAATGTTTTGCAAAAATCAACGAAAGCTAGATTGTATGCAGTGGAGATGGTCGTTGGTGCCAAAGTTTTTCCTAAAACCTACCTGTTCGCTAGGTTAGTAAAAATGTAATTTTGTTTACAATGTATTTGTTATTATTCTTGTAAATAACTTGTAGAGGTAGTTTGACAGGATTATGGATCGGTAATTCTCGAGATCTATTGGATCGCCTTTTTTGTGCAATAAAATAGTAAGTGCAATGTGCCATCTTGTAGGTGTTTCACTTTGATGCAGTGAAGTGAAGTGCAAGTTGAGCAATTTCTTTATGTTCTCTAAAAGTTTGTCTCCTTCAATGTTTACGGCAGCTATAACGATATTTCATCTGTTGATTTATCAGGCATCAATTCTGATACTTAGTTGACTAATCTTTTTCCTGAATTTTCTAATATTCATACAAGTATTTAAAAAAACGTGAAGAAATCCGTTGCTGGATTCAGTTTGAATTTAAAGATGTATTTCAAACGAGAGAGTGTTAGCATGCAAACATTAGTACATAAATGTATACAGAATTACATGCTAGCTTACTATAATGAATTACATAATCACTTATATATGTATTATGTTAGCTTGTAAACTCTGAAATCGGTCGCACCCTTCTTACTACAATAAAAAGTTATTTTGGATTGTAAATACTTATCTCTACTTTTGCCAATATTTAGTTATTATGGACTCCCATCAACAACTTTTTCATCCTTTGTATCAATTAAAGAAAAGGTTTTTGCCCCTGGTTCATTGATTATGATAAAGTATTCGATAAAGTAAAACAAGAACTAATGATAAATCTTTATCTTTAAGAGTCTGGATTGGATACTAAAGATATAAGAACTATTTTCAATTATATTATATATATATATATATATATATATATATATATATATATATATATATATAGAATAAAAACGGGTAGAAGGCAATGATGTATACTTTCACCGATATTGTTATACGTAAATTGCAGTCACGGAGGCAGTGGTACACTCAAGTCAGGGTATTATTATCAGCTGCATTCAATGTTTTCTAGATGATGTAATATAGGGAGTCTGCAAGTGCACATAACGCACTAAATTGTAGTGAAAAAATAGATATATTTCCAATCAGTGCTAAATTTTTTTGGGCGCACGTAACATTTTTTGTCGTGATGTAATGCCATTTCTTTAGTACTTCTCTATTATAGTTTACTCTTTACATTTTAACATTACTTATCTGAATTAAGGTTATTACAAAAACATTAAAACAGTAAAACATGAGAACATTAAAAATAATGTTCTCAAAGTGGTTTTAATCATTGCACACACACAATAATACCAAAAATTGAGCTTGAACTGACGAGACAAAACCTAAATGTTGTTCATCTCTCATCCAATATTTATTCAACCTTCTTAAATCGTCAGCCCATCGTGTAGATCGACCGACGCTACTCTTGTCTACCCTTGGTCTCCATTCCAATAACCTCTTTGTCCATCGCTCATCTCCATTTTATTCTGGCTATCCTTTCGATGACCTCGAGTTACCTGGGTTCTTCTGATCTCATCGTTTCGAGTTATTCCTAACATTGGTCGCTCCATTCTTCTCTGTGTGACTTTCAGTTTGGTAAATGAAGCTTTTGTTAAGGTAAGTGTTTCTGCTCCGTATGTCAAACCTGAGAGACCGCATTGATCTTCAGGCATGTGAGCAGCTCATTTTTAAAAGTTTCTCTTAGTTTTCTATATGCTGCCCACCCAAGACGATTCTTGTCTTCAGTTCATGGGTCTCATTATCCCTACAATCACAATTTCATGTTCTGGGTATTTATATTTATCTATTTATCAATTCTATTTGTTGCCACCAATACTGATCTGGGTGCCATTTGGATACAATCTGGTTAGTTGGGTACCATCTGGTACTAACCAGATGTTCTTATTCTTTCTGTTTATAAACAATTTTGCTTGTTTATTGACGGATTAATGCCTCTATGAAAGGTTGTCTCTCCATCTTTTGTGCAGTCTTTTAATACTTCGTCTGCCGATTTGTGATTTATATCTTGCTATTTTGACGGCGTAGGTCTGACCATAGCACACTACCACCTAGCATTGAAACTTCCGTGTTGACGAGTAAAACAATGATTGGCGCATCACCTAGTGACCGGGCGCCTAACTATAAATACATGGCGCGAAATTCAAAATTTTTTGTAATATTACCTAGGATTGTGAACTCATTTTAAAGTAAAGGAAAATCGATATAATCTTAAAATAACAAGAAAAATCCTTATCCTATACGATAATAAATATTTTTCGTATACTTTTTGGGTTTTCTTGTTATGTTGAGACTATATTTATTTTACATTACATTAAAATGCCAAAGTGGTCAAAAAATTAAAGAATAAAATATAGAATAAAATCTTTATTTATAAAAATATTACAAGAAATGTTATATGTGTTACAAGAAATATTAATAATACAAGCCAAGTGTACTATAATTTAGTTTTCTTAATGTTGTGGCAAGAACTGGTCAGTATTTAAATAATTGTTTTGTCTTAGTATGTCAAGTTTTATGTAAATAGAAGCCTAATTCTGCAAAAGGCCTTTTACTACAATTTTATTCTCAAAATTTGCAAAGAATTCAAACATTGGTATATAACATTCAAGATATTTTTAGAAAGCAATGAATCTAAAGATAAATCCCTAGAAGACAAAATAAGTACATGCTTGTAATAAATTTAGTCTATAATTACATAAGCGAAGCAATCAATGGGGAAAACCAATTGCTTTTTTCACACATACTCTCACAGATTCAGAATGAAAACATGCAAATGCGTTGAAGTATTAAAAAAATGCAGACATAATCACAGATTAAATCACTATTTTGTTTATATAGAATGCTGGCATATATAAAATCTGACAAGGAGAACTAGCTTTACTTCACAAGAATTTATTAATTATCTCCACTCTAAAGGAATATTTCAAGTAGAACAACACCATATAACCATGAAGGAAATGGTTAAGTTGAAAGATACAATGAGTTATATAGAAATTGGTGAATCTAGCATTGAAAACCAAATATTTAGACATCACTAAATGAAAAACTGCTTTACCAGGAGCTCTGTACTATATAAGAAGTTTACTATTGAATTGTTATATTATTGAATCACGATAATGATGAAGATGAAGTCCAAATAACACATTAGAGAATTCCACTACTAAATCAATGCCAGATGTGACAGAAAATTTACCTGTTCAAAAAACCTGATGATAATTATGAACCAAGATTGGAAAATTCAGATTTTCAATCTAGCTGTAAATCAGCTGGAGCTAAAAATAAACCAAGATAGTTGCAATATTTTGTTCACAAATAGGGAAGGGTAAATGTAGTATAATTTAGTGTTCTAAATCTTGTGACAAGAACTTGTCAGTAATTAAATATATTTTTTGGAATTCTAATGTCAAATTAAAGCCTAATAATTCTGAGTTCTTTGTAGTACTTACATCCTAATCTAATAACACACACTACCAGTGGTCAGTGAGAACTCTTACTGTCTGGCGTTCTACTCACAGAAAAACAGAACTCAAGAACTCTGCTAAGTTGGAAACAGAAAAATTAAATGATTTAGTTCTAGAAAGAACTTTATATACATTTATATGATAATATTTTAGTCATATTTAAACCTATAAACCCAACAGTTAGCTCTAAGATTCTAAGATCCAGCACTATAAAGATGGAAAAATAACATTAAGAATAAAAAAATATGTAAAGTATTACCTAGTTACAATAATAATATGAAGTATTTTACAAAGTTACGTTTCCAAACTCTATCTTACCAGTAACTCTTTTCTACTAATATTTATATATTTATTGAGAGACATATTAAATACATTTAGATTTAGGTTGTTCTTTTGATTAAAAGTACATAGATGAGACAAACCATGATAATATATGGTACTCTAAGACCAATCTCACTCACAAGAGAGAGACAGATCCCTCCTCGCACTTAACGGCAAGCTCATGGACCTCTCCATATGATAGTGTAGTCATGGTCTGCTAATCTAATCCAACTTTGAAACAGGCACACCTGTAGAAATTATGTCGAACCCTCTCTAAGGTGATGATTTTTTAAGATAGTTGTTGAACCACCACCTACAAAATAATTCAAATAGTAAGCAAGTAAGTCTGATTTTATAATTAGGTTAAATTTATAATTAACTAATTTTATAAGTAAAAGGTCACATACATACATATATTGGCATAATAGTTCTTACCTGGTGCTGGTAAAAACAAACTCAGAAGGGCTGTTCTCGTAATACCGGTATGTCCAACATTAATTATATCATCCTCTTTAAAATGACTAGCGCATACACGAAAATCGTTATAAATAGTTTCTGTTGCAGCATTCTCTAATTAGGGCTTTTAACAGCATTCACCCATTTATCAAACATATCCATATTATAATCTACTGGACTTGAAAAACGGTATTGCTTGCCAGCGGTAGTGTGCTTGCCTAGTATCCATGCAATCTGGAATACATCTTTTTTGTTCAGTTCTTCGTCACTATATTGTTATTCCATGTAATGTGTTCGATTCCATAATAAAAAATCGTCTAAAATTTTACCTTTTTGCACTACTTATATAAAAAAATTTAAACTATAAAATAAATTATAAAAAATAAAACAAATAAAAATATGGCGCCGTATTTGTCTAAATTCAATTTTGATTTGACCACAGCACACTCCCTACGCGTAGAAACGAGACTAGCAGCGCCACCAAACGAATGGGCGCCTAAATCCGAACGTGATTTGACATTGCTTATCCCTGTTACCAATCTATAAATTTTATCTATGGGTCTGACTGACTTATGTGGTTATTCTATTCTTTTGTGCTATTTTGTATCCATTCGTTTATGTTATATTTTCCCTGTATGTTATATTTTCTTCTAATGTCTTCACTTCTCTTTCGATCTCTCAGTGTATTTCCTGTGATTCTTCTCAGTACTCTCATCTCTGCCGTTACCAGTAGCCTTTGTGCATGGAGCCTTTTTTAGGTAGTCAATCCACATATCCTTTTCTATGTGTTTTGGTTCTATTAGTTTCTTTAACTCCGTTCTTTGACCTCTTATAAAGCGCAATATTTCCTTCTGCAGACCATAAAAATCATGTTTCGTTTCTTTCGAAAAGCGTTCTTAGTGATCATTTTTTAATTTTCTTACAAGTGCATGTTCGTTTTAAACAACCAGATGTTTATTAAAAACTAAAATCTGAAAAAATTAAGACATGCAAACATTACGAAAATTATTAGAACAGCGAAAGGATCGGCCAACATAAAGATAAAGTAAATTACTGACGATAAAAATGAGCAAACAATTTTGTTAATATTTGATACAAAAAAAGAACTATCTCCACTACCTGCCTTGTGGGGCATCCATTACATAAGAATAAAGTATACATACCTTTTTGTTTTTAATAGTGTGAAAATGTATTTCGCAAACTCTATCAACAACATCTTCACTCTCGAAGGTTACAAATCCGAATCCTCTGTGTCTTTTGGTCTGCTGATCCATTAACATTACAGTCTCCTCTACTTTTCCAAATTGACTGAAATAGGCTTTAACCTCGTCAGCTGATGTATCCTGACTGACGCCTCCTACGAATATCTTTTTAGTCTTGTTTGGTTGCTTTGGTCTGTTTTTCGGTGTTGCGTGTTTTGGGTCGATCTTTTTTCCGTCCAATGTATGTATTGGAACCTTCAGTACTTTGTCTACACTTGATGGTTCTGAGAATGTGATGAAACCGAAGCCTCGACTTCTCTGTAAAATAAAATACATTAAAAACAAGACACATGAATCATAATATACGTACATATATATACACACATCAAAATAATCTAGGGGCCAAAGACAAACTGCGAGATTACAGAATGATTTCAAATAATTAATTGCAAATGTTAAAAACAAGTTATAAACAAGTGTCTCTAATATAAAATAAACATTGCTTCTTAAAATTATCGCAATAACTCTTAAGAAAATAAAAAGTGAACTCCAAAAATCAAAAAAATGTTAACAAAAAAAAATAAAAAACTAATTAGTTGTCCCCCAACTCAAAGCAAAGTAGTCTTTAGTTAATTTAGTATAATGTTTGACATCCATGGTTGTTGATTACTGGCCTATATCTGTAAGGCAAACTCATGATCATATGGTCACTGTCTTGCTGCGGAATTATCTTCCACTCAATTGAAAGGTCCTTAAACAGTTGCTGTCTTGTAGTAAACGTAATATTTTGTTGTAATATGCCCAACATGTCCCATACATGCTCAATTGGGTTTAAATCTGGTGATTATGCAGGCCATGGTAAAACCTCAATTTTATTATCTTCGAGCAATGTTTTTACGACCCTGGCAGTGTGCGGACGCGCATTGTCATCTTCTTCTTCTTCTTATGGTGCCCTATCCAATTAGTGGATGTTGGCGACAATTCTGGAATACTCCTCTCGATCTTGTGTGGCTCTAAAAAGTGCATGCGCATCGAGATTTGTCCAATCCCTTATGTCTTTAAGCCATGAGTATTTCTTTCTTCCGATGCCTCTTTTCCTTCTATCTTCCCTTCCATAATAAGCTTTAAGAACCGGTACTTGGAATTTCGACATTGTCATGCATTACTTGAAATTGGGGACCAGCTTGTTGTGCACAGAGTACAACAATAGGTTAGAGAATAATATCGCGGTAGTCTGTTGCATATGGAAGCCATTCTAGACAAATGAGATTGGTTCTTCCACCAAGAGTGATACCACTCTACCATTATACTGCCGCATTGCTGTCAATGGACCTCATGTACGGTAACCAATCGTTCAGCATTCCAGATCGTCTATAAATTCTTATTTATCTTGTATCTGGTGCAAATCCAAATCGGGACTCATCTATAAACAAAATAGAGGCCCACTCACGTCTAACCTAATTTGCGTGTTCTTGTGCTCACTAAAGTCAATGAGTCCGATTTCCTCTGGATAACATAAGCACTCTCACAGGTCTTTAAGCATTTAACCCCACTTAATGCAGTCTATTTCTAATTCGACGCTTAAAAACACCTGATAGATCTCTTGCGGCCTCATTTGTAATTGTATTGGAGTGACAGGGAGGTCTCGCAAAGCTTGCAACCTAATAAAACGGTCTTCAATCTGGTTAGTTATCCTTGTACGTTCAGTAAAATCACCAGTTTCTTGACACCTTATCCACAAACGACTAATGATAAACGACCAGGTGTCGTTAGCAAGAGGCTAAACAAAAAAATTAGAGATTTTCAAAATGGGTTTATAACTTAGGTATGCTATAAGCTGTCAATATTTAAGAAATTACAGAGAGAACGTGAAATAATAATCGAAACATAACCTGAAGCAACACCACATACAAAGCCTTCTGGCACGCATACTGTTAGAAAATCTACTACAATTTCACCTACTAGAAAGGTACGCTTTTACTGGGGCGTCTCAATCATTGTTGAGCGATCGTTGCTGAGCAATGATCGCTAAGCGATGATCGCAAGCGGAGTGTTGTCTAGTGAACATGTGATTTTGAGCGTATGTAAAAGAGATACTATTTTATTGGGAATAAGCCACAATTGAAGGTTAAAATAAGTTTATTGATGTTTCAATTTCTCCTTTGGAAATTGAAACCTTTTCCGAAGTGGAAATTGAAACGTCAGTAAGCTTACTTTAACCTTCAATTGTGGCTTATGCCCAATAAAATAGTATCTAATTGCAAATGCCACAGAAAAATAGCTTTAGAATAATGCGTAAGAGAGAACAATTATTTGTTCAAATTCCTGCTAGCAGAAGGTATAGAGGACGAAGAAATGTTAAGTATTTCAAGATTGGAAACATATGCATTATTGGATCCAGAGTTTTACCCTTGTTTTTGCTTAACGCCTCTTCGAGGAAGAAGTACTCCTTTTTTTCGGAGGTGTAACAAACATGATGAATGATGTTTTGGTGGAGAAGTAGTGGACTACTAAGGAGCTGGGGTTCACAAGATGGCGTGCCTGTGTGGACGATGTATAAGAAGCGCACAAGAGGAATTTCAGTGAGCGTTGCCAAACATGTCGAAGGAGGTACTTCAGGGGTTACCAGCCATATAATAGGAACGACACTTTATCTGCATTTTTGGCATGCAGTAGTTAACTGCGACATTTGATGGGGGTTGAGTCTAAGATTTCAAAATACTCATCAGGGAGTTCATATCCAGTGTTGTGAAGAAGTTTAGCTGGAGAAAACGAAACTTTTCTTTGAGGAAGCCTGTTGAGTATGTATTTGCCCTCGGCAATTGCAAGGCGTCTTTAGTATTTGTTTTGCTCGGTTGTCGAACCTGCAATGGTTCAAAGGACATACCTCCTGCTGAGGGATAGATTATGTCCTTAATTGGTATTATGTTTGCTAATCTATGTATGTGTGCTGATGGATATAGTCTGCTCCGCCTCATGAAGAATCTGAGGATTTTTCTTTCAGTTGCCATGATGGCATTGATATCGTAGGTCCTAAGAGAAACGTAGATGCATGCCTTGTATTCGATGATGGGTCTAATGAATGTTTTGTAGTTGTGCACTAAAGTTTTATATGACGTCTTGCTCAGTTTACCGGCCAACAATGCCAGGAGTTTAAACCTCTTTCTCACCCTGTCTAGGGTATCTTGTATGTCGGTTTTCCAGTTGAGAGTCCCGGTAAAATAAACTCCCAAATAGGAAAACGAATTTCTGAGAATAAGGTCCTGTCCTAACAAAGGTATAGGGCCCCGGACATCGTGACAATTTAAAGTTTTAAATAAAATTAGTTGTGTTTTGAAGGGATTTATGGTAACTCTCCATTTATTGCACCACCTAATGACTCTATCTAAATAGTTTTGTGCTCTTTCGAATACAGACATTCGTCCATGCTCCCTGTGTGATCCTGACGTGAGGAGAGTAGTGTCATCAGCGTAAATTAGAAGGATCTCTAATTAGAAGGTACTCCAGCTAGAGGAGTGATGGGTGTGAATAAGTAGTCGCCTACTGTGATCCTGATCGTCCGATGAGAGAGATAGGAATTAATTATTTTAACGAAAGGTGTGAGCAATCCATCAAGATGGAGTTTTTCGACCAGGCCTGTGTACCAGACCTAATCGAATGCCTTCTGGACGTCTAGGAATATGCCTATGACGTGGTCCCTTTATTAAGTGATTGTGAAAAGAAAGGTATTGTTTCAACCAATGCATTTTGCGTGGAGTGTTCAGCCCTGAATCCGAATTGGTAGTCTGGAATGGCAAGGTGAACGTCTAGGAATTGTACGAGTCTGTCCTTAAGGATCCTCTCGTAAACTTTAGCTAGGATGCTCAGTAAAGAAATAGGTATGTACGATTTAGGGTTGGTGAGGGTTTTTCCTTGTTTGGGAATTATGACTGTGCTGGCCACTTTCCATGGAATTAGAAAATAGCTCAGAGTTAGAGATGCATTGATTATGTTGGTGAGCAACGGGATAATATTCTCTGTAAGATTTTTAGGCATCTTCTGTGGATGTCATCAGGGCCAGGAGATGTGTTTTTTCCAAAATTACACATCTACCCGATGGTGTCCCCAGTCACAGGGGCCATTATCGGGTGAGGATGTGGCCCCAAATGTTATAAGGGGAAACGAAGGCGGCCTCTAATGTACCTTTGAAGGCTTCGGCCTTGTCTTGTGGATTGTTGAGAATGATGTTGTTAACTATGAAATGTGATCGTGGCTTTTTTGGACTTCTTTGTTTCGTTAAGACTTTAAGTTGATTCCAGAATTTGGCACCCCCTCGGTAGTCAAGGTCTGACAAGCTGTAACACGCCTTTAATTAGTGCGATGATTTTGGGTGGGCGAGTTGGAGTATATGGATTATATCTGGTCTTTGGGATTGCCAGGAATAAGGCTTCTTGGAGAAGCTTCTCAATTTTCGAAATCCCTGCGTAAACTTGATTATGTGTTGACATATTGCCTAACTTAGGGAGATTTTGATTGATGTGTTCTTGCAATGCTTTAGGATAATTTTTTTCTGTAGATAGTAGTTCTTATGGGTGGGGGAGAATTTAAGTCAGTTTTGACTAGGAGTGGGAGGTGGTCAGACGTTATTGAATCTCCAATGAAGCATTCATTATCATACCTATCTAGCAAGCTATTCGTGCAAAAGATATGGTCGACAATGGACATTCCATGGTAATTGAAAAACGTGACCTCATTATTGGTGATTCTAGAAACGGGCAGCTATAGAAGAAGGTCTGAGAGCTGTCTGCCGGTAATGTTAATGAAGGCATCATCAAATTGAGCGTGTCTGCTATTCAGATCGACCGCAGTATTCAAATTCAGACGCAATATTTAAAAAAAGATAAGAAGTATACTTCAAAATTTTGATAAACAACCATTTATTAGATGTTAAATTTCAACAGTTCTTCCGTTTGAATGATCTACAGTTTGATTTTTTGTTAAGTTTAGTAAAACAGGATATGAAAAAGTCGTCTACGAATTGTATTCCATATCCAGTGTCTCCAAAAGAGAATCTCTCAAATAAAAAATTCTCAAAATCACATGCTTTAGTTCACATGCACAAAAGTCACATGCACAAAAAGCCACTTTAGTTGATGAGGGTTTATGACTGTGTCTGCTCTCGGACCAGCCACCAATGATCGACGCTAGCGGCTCCAGCGACAGACGCTTCAGTGAAAACGGCGCCGTAATAGACCACACCAGCGGTACACTGCGATCATCGCTCAACGACCATCACTAAGAGATGATCACAACAGACGCTCCAGTAAAAACGTACCTTAAGTCATTACGAAAAAGGAAAGAAAATTCAGATTTTGGATACTAATGCGTTAAGACCTTAATGTGGCCCCCTACCCACCCCCAGGAAGTAGAGGTGAGGAGTCATGATAAGCCAGTGTACTTTTTGAGATATAAGACCATAATAGTCCGATTATAGCGCCATCCATCAAAAATCCGAAAAAATGTCTCGAATAAAAGTTACTTATTTTTGGATAAGAAATCCAAATCTTCAATAAAAAATTAGGGTTCAAAAACATATTTTTCAGTTTTTCGATACAATGTAATTTTCGCGAAATATTCGACCATCCCACTTCTTTTGGCCCACAATAAATGTAAATAATAGACAGAAACATATCCTTAAATTGTCTTGTAAATAATTTTTACCTGTGTAACTGGATCCTTCATTATCAAGACATCTGTAACATTGCCGAACATGCCGAAATATTCTTTCAATTTTTCGCTGGACGTCTGCCAACTTAAGCCGCCAACAAACAATTTTCCAGGAGCTGGATCATTCGATGCGTTTGGTGTACTTCTACCAGAGGAGCCTGAGTGGCTGCCGTTGATGGGCACCAAAGCGCTGTGAAGTTCATGAGGATCCATCATGCCGTTGCCTTCACCCATGCCAGCGCTGAAATTAAAAAATGTCTCTTAGATATGATGTAACTTTATAATTACTAAAATTTAAATCTTGATACATAATGTGTAAGTATAAAGCTACAAATTACAGCTCTTTGGTACGAACCACGCTCTAAGTTGGTTATAGGCATGGCATTTTTTATTACAGTTTCGTCTTTTCTTTTTAAACTATATCTCTAAAAAGTAAAATACAAGACTGAATCATTGTTTTCAAATTTAATAATTTAATCAATGGTGCCAATCCAATTGGTCTTTTCATTGCTATTTATACAACTTTAGATTATCTCAATATTAAATTGTAATGAGATAATCTATTTTGGCTTGTAATGCCTTTACTGAATTTATGTTTTAGAGTTATTAATAAAAACAAATATAATTAATTTCCAAATGAACAAGCCTTAGTTTTACTCCACTAAAAACAAGAGATTTTTTAACACACATGAAATATTTATAGCACATACTAACATAGTTTAAAATGATTATTTAGACCAATCGTATGGTTTGTCTAAATAACCCTTCATTAGACCAGTCTAAATAACCATTTATCGACTTAAATAATAGTCAAAGTGGTTTGGCGCTCATATCGACTAAAACTTGTTCCTATTGAAGTAATATAACGTTCATCATCATCATCAATCAGCCAATCGCGTCCACTGCTGGACATAGGCCTCCCTCAGTTCTTTTCAGTGTTCTCTACACTGGGCGGCTTGTAGCCAGTTTCCCGCTACACGTTTAATGTCATCGGTCCATCTAGTCGGTGGTCGTCCTCGGCTTCTTTTATAATTTCTGGGCCTCCATTCCATAACACGTCTTGTCCACCGTCCATCTTGTGTTCTGGCTAAGTGCCCTGCCCAGTTCCACTTAAGCGTCGTGGTTCTTTCGATGACGTCGTGAACTCCTGATCTTCGCCTGATTTGTTGGTTTGTTATGTGGTTTCGAAGGCGTTCAGCATTGCACGTTCCATGGCTCGTTGTGTAACTCTAAGTTTATTCGCAGATTTTTGCGTGAGTGTTAAAGTCTCTGCTCCATAAGTTTGTACAGGTAAAACACATTGGTTATAAACCTTTCGCTTGAGACACATGGGAATTGAACTTTTTAGAATATGGCTTAATTTGCCAAATGCTGCCCATGTTAGACCTATTCGTGTCCCAGATATTTGTAAGTGTCTGTTTGTTGTATGGTATTATTGTCAATAGTTATATTTCCACTCATTACGAGATTTGTTATAATTTTAGTTTTCTCAAAGTTTATCTTTAATCCTGCTCTTTCAGACAGACTTTTAAGCGACTGCATCATAGAAACTGTATCATGCATATCTTGCCATTGAGTACCGGCATATGTATAACATTAATATAACGTTATGTTTCAACAATATGTTGAAATTATTCTTAATGTTTTCTTCATTTTAATTTTTTAAACTAGGGTGATCTAATATATTTTAATATTATACTGCAGCAATTTCTAAGGATTTTCGTAGGATTTCCTATGACCGTATAAAATTTTCTCACGAACAACTTATTTTTTATGATTTGTGATGAATTCGTGATAAATTTATATATTATTTGTAATGAATGTCTTCGAAAAATTATTGGTTATTGAATTTATATTTTCTAAATGGTAAAAACTTGTACAACTCTTAAGGCAACTATAAATGAACTACGAGATCGTTCAAAAGAATTTAAATAGATTTGAGAGATGGAAACCTCAAGTAAAAAAAAAGAGGAAGATCTTAAAATCCTGCATATCAGGCAGTGGCGAAGGAAAGTAGTATCCGAATAAAAAAAACGTTGTTAAGCAGGTCAAGGCCCACAAAGGGTTGTAGCGATATTAGAAGAAGAAGACAGACTCTAAGACTCAAATCTAAAAACTACACAGATTTTTAAAATCGATAATTGTTTTTCTCATTTGAGATAAGGTATGTGTGATCATGGAATAAAGAAATCGGGAATTGGCGGCCATATAAAGCTAAAAGACCACGAGGAAGACCGCAAATGCGATGGAACGACGATATTAAAAGATCTGCAGGGCAAATGTGGAAACGTCTTACAAACAACAGACATGAATGTCGAGAATTAGGAGAGATCTATATTGGGCAATCCGAATAGAGAGAAGGGCTTAAAAAAAAGTATGATAAGGAAATTGTTTTATTCACTTTTCTATCGGTAGTTGAATCATGGACGTTGTGCCGTGGAAAGCAGTTGATAAAAACATAAGTGATTCAAACATCTCATCCGGATATTACAACTTAAGTTCTAGATAATGTCTAACGGTGGATAAATATTTTAAACCGTAAAAAAACTTATATAAACTAAAGAAGAAAAATACTGCACGTAAGGTCAAACAAACATGATTTAGTATAGGACGAATGAGCTGGTTCTAGATAAGGTAAAAAAGGAAATAATGATTACTGCAGAATATATTAAGTTTATAGTGACAGCTAAATGTGTTTTAAGAGATTCTAGGTTAAATTAAAAAATTGACCGGTTTATATATATTATAAAAACAAAGTATCCTACCTTTTGATTTAAATTTATTCTTGAGGTTAATATATTTTTATACACATTTTAATGTTAATACAAATAAATAAAGTTGGGTACTTTTTTCCTGTCTTTTACCTGGAAAAACCTATTGTTATTGGTTGATATAACCAAAACTAAAGCAAAACTTTGAATAAATGTCAGATTGACAGACGTCTCCGATTATTATTCCAAACAAGCTTTCTTTGAAATTGATCAAGTTGGGAAAGAGAAGTATATAGATGGTTTGGACACAGTATATATAACAATCAGGATGTCCACTCTCAGATGCCGCCTTTGAAGTGTGCATCGAGCAAAAAGACATTTTCTTTTTGCTAAATGGAAGTGTGTCAGCATGCGATCGCCATATTTTAAACGGAAACATAGACTCTGAGAAATTTGTGACAAGCTACGACAGAACCAGAATTTAAATTTTTAGAAATTAATAATTTAGCAAATTTGAAATAATTTAATCTATTCTTCAACTAAAAGTACGAATAAAATAGTGCATATTATGTCTATGGTTGCCGTAAATAAATTAAACCGCGTTAATTTTTCTATGCACACCAGATAAAATTTCACTGAACAGCACTGGTTCCGTTTGAAACATAGCTCATTCCGTCTGGTTGTTTCTGATTGTTTATTATCTGTGTTTTGGGGATTACACACTGTTTATTAGTATTGTTTAATTAGTAGAATTATCTTGAAATAATGTCTAAAATGTATGTAGTACATATGCGTATGGGTTCTGTGTACAAAGTCCACAATTTTAAATAAAATAGAGGATAACCATCCACAAATACAGGATGTGACACCGAAAACAAAACATATTGAATATCTTCAACACATAATTTGTGAAAAAATGCACAAAGACGTCAATTTTTATTACACTTACTGTTACATCCTCAATTGTGATACCCTCTTCCGCGCCTGTGAATTATTATCACAAATACTCATTAGGGAAATTTCATTAGGGAAAGTATTAGTGTGACACTATGCAACTTTATTCTGGCGCCCTATTACGGTGACAAAGCCTGTTCCGGATTTAAAATGTTGATATTTAATTGGAAAGCTGAATTATTGATAGGCACAGTTGACAAGCTTTGTTTATCGATTAGTCAATTAAATTAATAAATAAGGGAAATAATGGTCCTATATAGGATGCGGAAGATAAACGGCCAATTAGAAATATCTCGAGAACTGAAGGTAACTGAATCATGAAAGTTGGAATGGAGGCGTTTTGAACAGTGACCTATTTAATGAAAACATTTTCGTCAATTTGCTACTTCCTGTTCTAGCGGAAGTTGCTTATAACTTCGTTTTTTTTAATGAAATATCTTGTATATTTTTTAAATTAGAAATATAATACTTTCCTATACACATTATTAACAGTTTTTGAGTTATAACTGTTTTATATGAAAATTACACTTTTCTACCATGTATATAAAGTTCAATATCCTCTAATGTAATTTGAATAAAAATTTAAATTCCTAATGAACTTATTAACCAGATACAGATATTATTTACAGTTGTATTTTTCATTATACAAGCTACTGTTAAAATTGGCATAAGACCCAGATCCTAAATTTTCTCCTAATTCCTTTTTTCACATGGGACACCCTGTATGTGATTCATTATTTTAGAAAAATATGTTTCTTACTATCGATCTGTATTAGTATTCCCTATACCTATCTCTTGCAGGTTTCAAATAAATTATCTTTTTACATTTTTGTCACAATTTTTTTTTATGTTATGTTAATTTACAACTTTCATATTGTAAGTTAAATATTGAACAATTAAAAAGATGCTATCAAAGAAAATAGACACTAGCTTATCAATGTAATAAATGTTAAAAATGTTACCCATCAACTTCCAATCATTTATGAACTCTATTTATCAGATTTTCATTAGAAATTCTTGATATTAATCTATTTCGTTAAGAACTTGTAGGAATTTATTTACTATAGTTTCCTCAGTAGTGACAGGTTCAGAGAACGCCTTATTTTTACCATATCTCCAAATAAAGTAATCTACCACTGGCAACGGGATCTTGGTGACTAGAGGAACGGATCTCATTTGATCAAATAAAATGCAGATATCGAGCACGGTTTTATTAATTAAATCTTGCCCAAGTACTTTCACTTCGTAGAACATCTTTAGGGGAATCTGAAATAAGCCAAGAAACCTTTTTTTTAATGAGTAAATTGATTAACTTCGATAAAAACCTCGAAGTTAATGGTTGATAAAAGTTATGTGATTAACGTTTTAGACTTACTTCATCCATTTTGGCCTATCCAACAATCATAGAATGTAATAAACATAAAATTGTACATTATACTACACTACACAAGGACAAACAGTTTAAATTTTTTTTAAATAGGCGAAGCTACAGTATGATCGGCAACAGGAGAGATTGACATTATGGTCGGCAACACATGACAGCTTAGATGGGCAGTCATAATCATGGAG